ACTAAAGTACTTTATGGTTCTGGTTTCGACATGACGAACATATGTTGTATATTGTCCATATAAAATGTTGCACTCCTAGCACTAGTTATACGTTTAAGGGCTCACCACCCTGATTATCTCTCAAGTCTACATGACTTGAAATGCTGGATAATTTACATCATAAGGATTTGATGAGTATTGCATATGTATTGGAATTGATCTAGAACATCTTATACCCCTATGTGTATACATGAAAATGGTCTCGTGAAAGTTGTCATCAAAAGGATATAAATGGGAACTAGGGTATTGGTTATGCATGCCAATTACCTACATTTGCCTGGGTTTATGCAACTTTACTTATTCGTTTTTAGACCCACTAGTAGGTAACCAATCTCGTGCTTACTAGTTGGTAAGTGGATATAAGCCTGATATTTTACATTTATGTATGTTTGGTTCTGTAGTATATGTGCTAATTGTGGCCCCACAGTGCACCAAAATGGGTCCTTAAAAATGATTAAGTATATGTTGGATATGAATCTAAAAATTTATCCGTTATTTAGAACCTTTGAAGGTTGATATTTATACCACAACATTTGTGGATTGTCACTTTGATGACAACCTTCCTGTCGTTAGGGGGAGATAGGAAAAAAATGTTTTACAAGGGAGCGACATGAACTGTCATGAAATGTTCCTACTCTGTCTCATTTTGATCCCCAAACTTCACAATTTAAAGTTGAAGTCAAACGAATTAGACTCAATACCTGATATGTTATTGGTATTCCAGGAGTGATCAGATCACATATACCAGCTGTAAATAAACCCACAAGGTTAAAAGTCCCCAAACAAGGGCACACAACCACTTGAAAGTGCGTTGCAATCACACATGGTGGAGGTGTGATTGAGGTCGTGGCTCCCAAAAGGAAATGGGGGGAGCTACTTGGTTTGATAGATACTCATCTAAAGGAAGAGAAGAGTAAGACACAACCATTTATCATCAATACATGAACCTCTCGTGAGATTGTCACTGATTAAAACTGTGACTATGAATCATTACTGGAGACCGTTTTGAAGTTAATATTGATTCCAGAGATCAAAGAAATCTCAAATGAATTATGAGAATGCATATGAGTCGATGGAAGATCATACATCATTGAATGTCACCAAGTGTAAAGCCTGTAGGACATAGATAAATCATTTGTTAGAAAAAGTAATGAGAATAATGAAGTCACAATGTATAGGCTTTCCTTTGGCAAGGTTTCTCACAACGCCCTAGATTGACCACAAAAAGACTTACTCTCTTGTGATTGACATTATAACGTTCTGCTAATTAATTAATTTAGTAGTTTCCAAAGGACTGGAAATGCAACTCACGGATGTGGTTATTAATATCTCTATGGGATCTAGATTCAGAGATATATAAAAGTGCTTAATGGCATTACATTATCCAAATGAATTAACTCTAAACCATGCAGTCCGTTTGCAACAAAACTGAAACGCTCACTTTATAACTTAAAACAATCTAAGCAGATGTATAATATATATGCCTAAGTGAATACTTGGTTAGGAAGGTATATAAGAACGACGAATTGTGTCCTTGCATATTTATAAAACGAGTTCCATATTTTCAATTGTAGCTCTATATGTCGATGTTATGAACATAATAGGCACTATCGATGAAATAAGAGAAACCATAATCTACTTGAAATCTGAATTTGAGATGAAAGATCTTGGGAAAACTTGGTTCTCTCTAGATATTGGAGCTCGGACACCAAGTTTGTGGAATATTAATCCATCGATCCGCATATGTCCAAAAAAGATCAGACGATTTAATATAGACAAAGCGCATGCAATTAGCACTCCCATGATCGATCAAAGTGTTGGATATAAAGAAAAAAAAATTCGTCTAAAGGATGATGACGAATAGGTGTTGGGAGCTGGAAATCCCTATCTAAGTATAATAGGCGCATTATTGTACTTTGTACAATACATTTGACCGTATATTTCTCAGTGAACTTGTTGGCTAGATTTAACTCAACGCCAAAGCAACATCATTGAATGATACCAAATTAATCTTTTAGAACCATTGACGTGGGCTTATTCTTTCCCTATAAAGCAAAAAATGGGATTGATAATGAAATTTCAATACCTACTTAGATAATGAGCGGTAAAAATACTAGTCCTTATAGAAAAATACCAAACAATGTCTCAATATGCTGATATTAGGTGTCTGCCGACCCATATAAAGGTCATTCCCAAAGTGGATAATGAATTATCATAGGGAACAAACTGATTACTTGGAAGTAAACTAAGCAAACCCTTGTAGCTACCTTATCAAACCATTCTAAGAATATTACTCTACATGAGATTATTTAAGAGTGTAAATGGTTAAGGACTATCATTACATATAGTAGAAGACCTGGTGTCTTGAGCTCAACCACTATCCTATCAGCATATATGGAAATAATGCATCATGTATCAAAGAAATGAAAGTAAGATACATCAAGAGTGACAACATAAAGCATATTTTGCTTAACATTCTATACAATCAACAATAACAAACTCTTCTCTAGATTCAAGTGAATCAAGTAAGATGCCACGAGAATATGACATATTTGCTTACCAAATTATTACCTAACAACCATATTTGAGAAAACATGTAGAAAGTATTAAAATGAAAACGTTTTCCAAACTCCCTAGATTGATGCACGAATCAAGGGGAGCAGTAGACAAAAAGGGGAGTCTACTATATATGTAATACTGGTATGTTGTACTCTTTCCTTCACCGAATGGTTCTATTTTTCCTACTAGGTGTTGTTCCTTGATGTAGGGTTTTAGTGCAAATGTTTTCCAAACTCTTTAGATTAATGCACGAATGAGAGGAGTAGTAGACAAAAGGGGGAGTCTACTATATATGTAATACTGGCATGTTGTGCTCTTTCCTTCACCCAAGATTTTATTTTTCCTACTAGGTTTTGTTCCTCAGTGTAAGGTTTTAGTGAGGAAACAATTTATATACCATCTTACTTTCCTAACTTTCATGATTAATGTACGAATCTAAGAAAATATTAGACCGAAGGAAAAGTCTATATATTGCAAAGAAATTGGTGCATTGTACTATTTCCTTCGTCTTATTTCTATTTTTTCCCATTGGGTTTTATTTTGGCGTAAGGTTTTAACGAAATAGCAATTGTACACCATCACTCCTTTGACTCGACACAAAGGGGAGTGTCGTAGGATAAATGTGTCATCATCTAAATGATATGACGATAAAGATAGAGATATAGATAGAGATAAACATTAGAGATAGACTAGAACTCATATTTCTCGTAGTTATCTACTTGTAATTCATCTCTATATAAAGGGTTTATGATTAATGAGATTTACAGATTTCATTTTCTCTATTTTATTTTTGTTCTATTTGTTTTTCCTCTAACAATTTTGTGATTTAATGTGAAGTTATTTTTTTTAGGTAAACTTCAATTTTGGTCCTTGAGATTTAATGGAAATTATGAAAGTTGGACCTAAATTTTGTTAAGTCTAAAAATATACTTATAATTTGAGATATCCAAAAAGGCCTCAGTCTAGTCCGGGATCGGTTTAGGACCAGGACCGGTAAATACCGTTTATAGACCGATAGTGTGGGACTGGTTACGTTTTTTATGATAGTCTGATTACATTTATCAATTATAAAAACAAACAAAATTATTGATTAAATATAAAATTATACATTTAAAACAAAGAGGATAGAGGATGAATAAGATGATGACATCTTCATCATGTTACTTCATGAACCGAGTACGTTAACAATCAGACAAAACAAACCAGTACATCCCACATAAAATAGGGGTTGGGTTTCAGTGAGAAACTCTTTTAGCGAAAACAGTGACAACGCATCAAAGCCGTTGATCTCTTTTGATCCGGCAGCGCTAATCGTGCATGTTTTTTCTTTGTACAAGGGGCACTTCCTTTTTCGGAAAGGAGATAGATCCATCTTCATTTATCTTCGTATATCTACTTGTATTACCATGAATGGAACTAACAATTCCACGCATGTGAAGGTGATCAAACGTATATGAAAGTCGGTGAACATGATCCAATCTCCCAAACTCGATTGTTCTCACATGATTGGCATAACAACCATAGTACACCAATACCAACTATTAAGCATGCTCGTATACCTCCCACAAGACAACCCCAACTTACTGGCAACGTGTGTTCAAGAATGACAAAGCACCTACAGTTCAAGCTTGCAGCATTCTGTTACCAACTTTATTGTGTCTTGTTTTTATTTATCTAGACATGAGATGTTGTGTCGTGTATGTGATGTTATAATATGAGAGACATGAGATGCAGTGTCGTGTATGTGATGTTATAATATGAGATATGAAACAAGGCCTCCAAATATATATATGTTTCTTTATCCAATTAGATATGTTTTAACCTTTAACTCAGTCATATTTTTTTTAACCAATTTGACGATTCCCAACTCCAACTTCCAAAAATGTTAGAAGAATTCTATTTAAGTGCATTTTACTTTGTTATTTTAAAATCTTTTTGTTGTTTTGACTTGTATGACTTTTAATAAAATATATGGTATGAACTTTTCTATTTTCTTTTATTTCAACTCGTCTGATCGATCTATAATATTGATGTAATTGTAACAAAGCCTCAAAAACGACTGGAACGACCCTTATGAGGCTCGAGAGCTGTTTACCAACTAAGTTAGTGCTTAACAGGTAAGAGTCACCACCCTCGCTTACCTTGCTAGGTAAGATTCACGGTTATCAAAATAGCATAGTATAAACATCTCTTACCTAGTAATCGCTAACCGGATAAGAGTCACCACTCTCACTTCTTGGTTAGCAAAATGACATGGCAAGATCGCTAGTAAAAACCATCATCTCGTGCAGGGTAAGCATCTTTTCATGTATTACCCAGTAAGAAGCAATAAGTGTTCAGTTGCTAGTAAAAGGCAGTAATTGTTTAGTAAACAACCCCTACAAACGAAATGAAGTAAATAGATGAATCCTAATGTTTCCCTGATCCCATATCATCAAAGTATGAAGAATCCAACTGCAAATTCACTACAACCGTCGCATTCATGAACATAGCTTGGATTTATGTATAACTAACAGAGCTTTACCATTAACAAATTATATTACAACATTTCTAAACAAGCAAAATGGCCAAAGATGTATGAAAAGTTGATCAAAGATGGACTAACTTGTGGAACTACTCGAATCCTGCTTTTCTTCATTACTGTTGGTGTTTTCCTCCATGATTCTTTGGAACTCTTTCTCACTTGCTGCAATCAAATGCTTCATGGCGTCAAAGGTGGTGAGCCTAATGCTGCAAGAACGAAGCAAAATGAGAGGTCGAGTTGCTTGTAAAACCATTAGGTGAAAGATGCATACCAAAACTACCCCTGAAACAAGCATCCAACAACTCAAAAGATCTAAAATCTTGGAAGGAAAAGATCCGACAAATTATTTTAGATGCATGACCTTCCATGGGGAGAGAAGATGGTAACTAAATGTCTTTATCTTTTTTCTTTGGCAAAAGACATACATAAGCTTGAGCCATGGATCAGCTTGCATAGGCTCGTATACACTAGGTTTTTAGACTCGTATGAAATTAAATTTGAATCTTCCAAATCCTAGAAACAACATTTAAAAATCCTCAGATGATAAAAGTCGAGTTTGAAATAAATAAATTATGCCAAGTGGCTCATATCGGCTTGTTAAGCTCTTATAAGATCAGCTACTTTAGGCTCACAAAAGGCAAACTCATCAAACACCCAAGCCTTAGCATTATTCATATTGGCTTGGTTCCTATTAGCTCGAGCTAGAGCCTGTGCATGACTCATTCATTTGGTTCCCATGAGCTCATATAAGCTCAGGCTTTAGTTAAGCACATATGGGCTTGTAGAAACTCAAGTCTAAACTTATATGCTTAATTCCTATAGGCTCATAAGAAATTGAACCACCTTTCCAAAAAAAGGACAAACAAACTCTGAGAACTACAATTAAAAATAGGAGGAAATCGGAAGGAAGAATGGTGTAGAGAATAAAAACGTGAAGTGAACCTGCTGTTTGGTAAGGTTTTCAATGCATTCGGCACAAAGCCCCTGTATAATCCAGCAACACCATCCCGAGCAATAATACCTGCATGTGATGATACTATATTAGAAACTGAGAAGAAACAAATGGTTAAAGGAAAATAATGCTCCATACAACCAAAATTTTCAATTTTAAAAATCAGAACTAGTACTTAAAACCGAGCTACGTCTCAGGCTTGCCAATATAAACCAAACCAAACACACCCGGTATTTCCCACTAGGAAGTAGGGTATGGGGGTAAGATGTACAAAGCCCTGACCTCTACCTAAAGGGTAGAATCCATGAAGACATCCGGCTTGTGAAACAAGTTTGCAAAAACATTTTGGTGGAGAACCCAACATTTCATGAAGTTTGTCAAAGAAAAATATAAGTTGGAAGAAATGGGAAGTAGGGCGTACATAAGCCAAGCTTAAGGCAGCCAAGCCTAAATGACTTGCTTGACATATATATATATATATATATATATATATATATATATATGTCTTAATTTTTTTAGATGGGTTTTAATTGTTATCTTACTTGAACGGTCTAATCTTAGTTTGTCCAACTCAAATGTTTTTTTCTTTTGCAAAATCATGTTTTCTAAAAGCTTTTACAAGACCCCGGGGGGTCTTTTCGGGTGCATTTGGTACGCAAAATAGGACGGGACAAAACAAAATCTTGTGGTCCCATGTTTGGCGCAACATTAGATTGGGACAGGACAGGAGTGGGACAAAAATAGGTGGAACAAGAACCAGGGATTGGACAAGAACAGTAAATTACTAAAATACCCATGTCAAATTAAAACCCTAAAACCTTCCACAATTCTTTCACTCGCCTACTTCAATCTTGCCCATCCAGTCCAGTCCAGTCCAGTCCAGTCTATTCCCCGTACCAAACGCACCCTACTCTCTACACTCGAGGTAGAGGTAAGGTCCACCATATACATCTTACCTTCCGCGGACCCTACTCTATGTGGTACTCACTGGGTTTGTTTGGTTTGGTTTATATGACCGCTAGAGCTTCCTTAGCAAAACGCTTGACAAATCCGTATAGAATTACCTGGAAAAGCATCCAAAACCGTCTTGTAAGGTGTACCCCTCATTTGCATTTGCCTTCTTATAGTGTCCAATGGGTAGCAGGTAAGTGTGGCAATGGTAGCTGCTGCGAAGGCTGTGATTAGTGACGCTTCAGTTTTGTTTCGGAATTTTTCTGGCAAAGACTTTTTTACCCTGTTAACATTAAGCAGATGGATTCATCATCGAGACTCCCTGTTATAATAAGTCATCTTTAGGTCAAGATTTGCTATTATAAGGCCTCTTTTGGTAACATTTGGCTTGAAAATTCATCTTCATTCAAACGGTCTATGCGTGCTTTTTTGTAAACCAATTTTGTAAACAGGGAAAACATCAAAATCAAGTTGACAACATGTAACAACAGTTTGCAAAAATTTGTAATCAGATTTTGGGTATGTGAAAGCATAAATGCTTGCCAAACACCGTTTTTCTCCTTTTTTTTTTTTTACTTTTTTGAAGATGTAAATACAAAACTAGAAAACATAAACATTGCCAAAAAGGCCTTGGTGAAAGAAAAGGCTACCAACAAGAAGAAATCTAATTTTCCACGAAATAAAAACATATGTTGATTTTGAATTCTGTAATAGGAAGCTCACAAGTCAAAAACGCAAAAGTTGACGGCAACATAGGGGGCTATTCCGATGAGAGAAGGTACTAGTCCCCTATAGAAAGATCCAAGTCCTTCCTCTTTTAGCATTTTTACGACAACCTGAAAGTATAGTAACACCCAACTTTAGAAGCAGAACTTTTGACTTATGTAAACCATAGACATCAACCTTATTCTTACGTTTGTTATTGTATGATGCCCAGGATCAACCGCCATTCGCAATCTGAGGACATCTAATGGGTACGTCACCTGAAAATAGTATCTCATTATTAATTTATGAAGTGTGAGCAAACCCAATGAATAGGTATGATGACAAGAGATACATACACAAATACACACACACATATCTATGTATATATATATATATATATATGGGAGGGTTCATGTGAGAACCCCAAATAATTTGAGAACCACAGAACTAATTTTATATTGTGTACTTATTGATAACTATACACTATACAAATTTCATCAAAATAAGTATGCTGTCAATGAGTAAATTCATCAATGAATATATACTATACATTCATTGATGAATATATTCAGTAGTATTTGTAGTATGTCAATGAATGAATATACACTACACAGTTAGTTCCCTGGTTCTCAAAATATTTGTAGTTCTCATTTGAACCGGGCACATATATATGAACCAGCTCAGCCTTGCATCCTCAAGTGGTTAGAGATTCAAGATAAACCTAGAGGCCTCTAGTTCTAATCCTACACACGATGTTAACTTATCGCAAATGTGGATCCTTGAACACATTATATCGCAACTAGAAGGGCACTCGTGCAATGCATCAAGACATTTGGTTTCAATGTTTCTTTATAATACGGTTTTATGTGGTTTTGAGAAAGTGATAATGTTTTTATTTTTAAATAGAATATAAATTGAAAATATTATAAAAATTTGAAAAAAATATATCGATATTAGTATCAAATTAACTATTTAAAAGTTCTTGTTTTGTGTATTTTCTTTAATTCAAATTTTTTTATTATAATTTAATTTAACGTAACAAAGTAACTTAATTTAGGTTTAATAATATAATTCTTTATAAAGATAATTGTAATAACCGGATCCTGGTTATTACCCAAGGTAATAAATATGTGATTATTTGATTAAATGGTTACGTGATAGCATGATAATTTGATACATGCTGATATATGAATTTGTGCATTAATTGAATAAAGATATATATATATATATATATATATATATGCTTATTATGTGCATGGATGTATGTATGTGTGTGCATATGTGGAGTTGTGCATGTGCATGAGGTGGAAATAGGGTAAGAGTCGGTTTAGCCGACTTACTACTTTTGGAAGCTATAAAAAGGGGGCCTAGTCTTTCATTTGGCCTCTCCCTGCTATTTTGAGAGGAATTGAGAGAGATTTTCAGAAGAGTTGTCCGGATTTGCAAAAAAAGAGGTGATTTCAAGTTGATTGCAAATATTTGGTTTCAAAAGCTTGTTAAGGTGAGTGGTTTCTAAACCTTTTTGCATAAAATTACTACTGGTTTTATTTACATGTTTCATGTTATAATTCCTTAGAAAGAAACCTTGCATATTTTGTTTAAGTGTTTATCCGGACAAAGAGTGACCAGATAAGTATTTAAACCGGACAAGCCTTGAGCGGCTTATTGGCCGGATATTAGTTAAACCGGATAAGCCTTGAGCGGCTTATTGTCCGGATTAGTTAAACCGGATAAGCCTTGAGCGGCTTATTGTCCGGATTAGTTAAACCGGATAAGCCTTGAGCGGCTAATTGTCCGGATATTGTTAAACCGGCCAAGGGTGGTGTAGAGTATTGTCCGGACTTGAATCCGGACAAAGATTGTTAAATTATATTCAAGTGTTGAGCGGTGTAGTTAAACCTGTCAAGTCTTGGGCGGGGTATTGACCGGACTTGTATCCGGACAAAGATGATTTTGCTTCTAAGTGTTAAACCGATCAAAGCATATGCAGTGTATTGTCCGGACTTGATATCCGGACAAGGTTGAAAATTATTTTTCTAAGTGTTTAAACCGGAATGTTGACCGGATTGTGTTGAAAATATTTTGATGAAAATTGATATTTTATCATAAAGTGAAGTTTTGATATAAATGATTTTGGACCGATAACAATTCCAATGGCTGCGGTCTATTCGAAATTATTTTTATAAATGTTTTGATGAAGTGATAAGGGTGGCATATCAARGAGAGGTGTCCATTTGATATAAGGGTGGCATATCAAGGAGAGGTGTACCATGGGATAAGGGTGGCATATCAAGGAGAGCTGTACATTTGATATAAGGGTGGCATTTGTATGTGTGTGGTTTATATAACTCTTTCTATTATATCCTTTAAGACTACCGAGGTCTAGAATCTTTATTTCTTTGTGATTTAAGGAYTTAGGATCAAGGTTCTTAATTGGAAATCATAGACTGGATGTTATTGAGGAGAAAAGAACAGGTTTGGTATGAAACTTTGTTTAAACCTCGTTTGATGAGAAAAGGTTTAAAAGTGACACTATAAGGAACCTGAATGGTTCAAAGGTATGAAATTTGAATAGCTAAGTGATTAGCTTGAAAAGTGGAAAATGATTTGGTATTATGTTCTTATGTATTCATATATTTGTTATATATATGAATARYTGTTTTTATAAAGGTTTTGGTGATCCTTCACCMWGCAATGACATGAATAGGGTATCTCACTAGACTTTTCAGTCTAACCCTCGTTTTTGTGATTTTAAATATGTATTGCAGGAGGCGTAGAAGGTAAGGGAAAGGGAAGATGTAATGCTTTTCTTATATGCATTATGGATGAGGAATTGCTTTTGATGCATAGTGTTGTTGATTAGTACAAGATATGTATTTTGAATTTTTGGACCTTGTATTTGGTCATGGTAGATTTTTGTACTAAGGGACCCGAATGGTATATGAATATGTATTTCTTTGGTATGAAATATGTATTACATGCAATGTGTGGGTTGGGGCGTTACAATAATAATTAAGTATTCTGTTAGAACTCAATGATTATCTTAATTATATTTTAGATTTTTTATATTTAAAACAAGATGTTTATCCTATATTTGATTATGTTATGTTTATGTGCAGTTAGTTACATGAATTCAAACATGGAGCTTTAATAAGTTGTACTTACACACAATTTACTTGTAATCTTGAATTTTAAATAATATGCATCAATAAACAGTACTTCGTGTATAACAAATGGTTTTTAAGAGTTTTTGTCAAATGCTTTATAATATAGTATAGATAATAATAATAATAATAATAGTAATGCAGAATAAAATACTTTCTCTAATTGCAACATTTTCCTTCTCAAAATGTCCGATGGAAATCACAAAAAAATTTCCCAAGTTAAACTCACCTAATTGGGCACTATCACCATGATGAATTAACTAATTATATTCATACGATCCATAAAGTTCATGTCCGTACTGGAGGGTGTATTGGATATTTGACAAATAGCCAGATACTTCCCTTCAACTGTGTGTCAAGTCAAACACCACAGTTTTCATGGAAAAGAAAGAGGTCCATATATGAAAGGACTACCGTTTGAACATCCAATGTGGAACATTCAGCAAAATCTGAAAGAAGAAAAAGAAGAGAGAATCTCACAAAAGTTGAAGTCATGCCAGCAGAAGCACCTGCAGCTAATCTCCCAATAACAGAAAGCTCGCCGTCCTTCCCCCTATAAAGTTTCTGCGAAGTTAACACGAATTTAAGATGACATTTGTTTTAAACCATTTTGAGTCCCGTGTTCATTTCTAGTAAATTGGACCCACAATCATGTCTTCATTCTCAACTTCTCGTCACATCATATGCAAGGCATAAGCAAGTAGTATTTTGTAGATGCACAAATTGCTTGGCCATTTTACTACCATCTTTATTAATTTGGCACTATACTTCATTCCAATCATTCGTTGCCTATTGATTCTACTTCCAAGCCAAAAACTGATATTTTTGGACAGATTTAGCCTTGATGATCAGTAGGAAACTTCATGTTTACAAGGGAAAGTGATCAAATCACTTCTTTTACAGAAAATGAAATACAGTGGCAAAATAAATGCTCCTCCATCCCAAAGTAAGCAAGTGTCCATAAGAAAAACGCACACAGTTCTGGAAAAGTGTAATTATTACACTTTTAATGAACTAAATGACAGTTTTACCCCTAATAGTAGAGGAGTAATTAACTTCTTCATCTCATAATTAAGGGTGGAATGTGGAGTATGCACTTATTTTTGTAAAGTGAACACTTATTTTGGGACAAACTAAAGTAGAAATGCAGACACTATTTTGGGACAGAGGGAGTAACTTTTATTGTATAGGGCTAAACATGTATTTTGTCCCACATCAGATAGCACTTACAATTACCCTCAAACAAGTTTTCACTTACCTTGTAGGACTCGTAAGCAAATAGCTGGACAGCACTATACGGGAGGATACGTAGCACCTATGATGATAGAGTGGGTTCATTTAGCATCAAGAAAAAAGAAATACTAAAATCATAAGAAATCGATAAATATGGCAAGAGCACCTGAGCAAGGTTACCCTTCCAGTACCCTTTTACACCTTCTTGCGTTCCTACAGAAACAAGCGCCTGCAACCAATTCAAAATATCAAACACTAAACAAAGTGAGATGAGATGGTCGGAGAAAGGAAGTTAACAAATTGCATAATCAAGAAACAGTTTCTTGAAAGCTGAAAATTATCAAACACCTGATGCAATATAATGTGATTGTGTAGCACCCTATTTGTTTGCGCCATCTAGCACGTTCATTTTGTGGGTCCTATCCATGTGATGCGCGGCATATGAAGATATGATTATGCGTCCCATTTACTTGATGTATATATGGGACCACAAAATGGAGAATGAAGAACCGCAAAAATGGTGTAAATGATTAGCAAGTTAATGGACTTGAGTTTTGCATGCACTCCCTTGAGAATCATACTCTACTTCCAGTAACAATATCATATTAAACAAACAAAAAGAAACTAAAGTTGGTATTTTATTAAAATACACTTCCTCCATTCGGTTCCATAAAATAACTTCCTTCTAACATAAAAGTAACATTTCTTTTTTCGAACAAGTTTCAATCCGTATTAAGCTTTTTACCATTAGTAATCATTACAAAAATAATAAAAGATGGATAGTCTGCTTAGATCTAGTGACCAAATTCTTCTAATTTGTCCCTTAAGGTATTTTAGATATTAAGTCAAACATTGTCACTGAACTAAGAGACCGTTTACCAAACACTTACCTGGTAAGTGCTTACCGGTAAAATTTAACACTATCACTTACTTACCGGGTAAGATTTTGGTCAACAAAAACGGCATCCTATGCAACAATTTACCCGGTAAGCACTAACCATGGTAAGAATCGTCGTCCTCACTTACAGTGTAAGACTCTCGGTCCTTGCCTCGCTCTTACCGGGTAAGATTCTTGGTCCTTGCCATAATCACCCGGTAAGGTAATGTGACTTGGTAAGCGCTTATCCGGGTAAGCGTTTGGTCGGCACCTATGTGCGAATTCATTGCGTTTATTTTTGGGATGGATGTAGAAATGTTTTTGACTCTAAAAGTAATTTAACAGAAGTATTACATTAGTTATCAAAGGTCTAAGATATCCTTCAATCAATTTCACACGGAAATCTTGTAGACCAGATAATTACTGTCAATATTGTGTAATAATGACAATGGACAAGTAAGAAGGCAGTGTTGCAATTAGTAGGGAACATCCATAAATAATTGTCCAAATTTTTATAAGAAAGAGAGAAGGGATTATATATTTATGTGATGGACAAAATCGAGAGACGAGTATTTACAATTATGCATACCAATTCCTAGAAAATGGAATAGACGAAAATGAGAAACCCTTCAGGAAATATATCATGAGCCAACCATAAATTCTAGCAGAGTAGCATAACCAAGCAGATTCTAGAGATCATCTACAACATCTAGAAGTTAACCTTAACCACAAAAATGATTAACATAACAATATAATTAGGAATTGAGAATGCAAGAAGAACTATAGGCAATATGGATATAAAATACCTCTATGAATCCAATTGTTTTCTTTGCACTTTCTTGCCCGGCTCTCAGTCCATGAGTCTGCAGACAGAATACTTATCAAGACCAAGAAAATGGAGCTTTAACCAAAGGGCCTTTGGCCTAGATGTATCCAAGCCGTTGGTCTCCTAGGAGGTTTGGGGTTCAAACCTCACCAAAGATGAGGAGGGTGTGTGAGCCTATTTTATATATAAATATTATATACTTACAAAAATGGAGCTTTAAGGGTATTAATGATAATATGTAGGTTCATTGATTATACTAAATTTTTTTTGATCATATGTGATAGAGCAGCATCTCCTGCACTCTTTCTGCAAGATAATCAGAGGCTTTAAACCTTCAATAACCAACATTAAGTAAGAGCATATGACATATCTTATCTCATCTTTCTTCTTTAAAATTAGCTCAAATCATTTGTCATTGCATCGCCTCACCAAGTTGAAATTTCCACCTTTTCCAAAAAAAGTTGAAATTTCCATTTTTTTTTCTCAAGTTAATAGGAGACACAAAGGCTACACCAAGGGTCAGGCCTAAGTCTCCTTAATGCTTTAAGGTCACCATTTTGATGATTTCTTTTTGGTTTCATTTCAAGCTTACCCCATCTTGTTAATATTGTTGCAAATGGAGGCTAATTAGGACTTTAAGTTGATCCAAATTATAGATTTAAACTTAGGTGAATTGACTTATGTCATTTTAGCAATTGCGATGTTTTGTTTATCTTAGCATTATAGTTGCAAATGGATAGAAATTATAAACATTCTGTAGTTTCCAAGAATCTCATGAACCATATTATGTAATCTTCTACACTTATGGGTTATTGTTCTTCAGAATTCAAGAAGAAAAGATATTAATAAACCCAAAATTAGGGTAATCCCATTCATCCAATTGTTCATGAAAGAATTCAAGATCAAGACCACCAAAAACAGTATAATAACAAGAGAATGGTTTAAGCTAGCACCGGCAGAAACTAAATTGGTCAAAATCATTGTTCAAGTAGTAAACAAAACGAAACGAAATTTCAAAATTAGGTGCAAGAATGACCTGCATGATGAGTTTAATCCGGTCAAGTGGCGCAGTAACAGTCTTGGCGGCGGCACCAGCGACTGCACCTGCGGCGAATAGGGCAGCTTCTTTAGGCACCAAAGCCACCACCGCCAGCGGGTGTTTCAAGACTTGCTCCGTCGTGGGTGTGAATTCTACATTGGCTGCAACTCTCTTCTTCTTTGGCATAGAAACGCAAGCAAACCCAGCAACATTTTCTTGGTATGTTGGGGGTTGAAGACCCGGAATGGCCTTCCAAATTAAGATTGGTTGGTTGTTTTTGGGAATCATTTGGATTTTGACAGTGAAATTGAATCTCCTGGAATAATGGGATCTTTGTTGTTGGAGGAAGATGGTAAAAACCCAGAGAGAGAGAAAGGTGCTGTTTGTTAAAAAAAAAAAAAAAAAAAAAAAAACTTAATTGCCTCTTATGTCTGAATCGGTCGGACATTGAGGGATTAAGTATGTTTGTTTTTTTAAAATTAAGTGTTTAAAACATCTGATTTCATCTGAATTATTTAGAGGTAAAATGCAGTCTGAAAACCTCTTAATCGCGTCGCCTCAAGCTCTCGCCTACCCTCCGCCATGTTCCTCTCCCTCTCCTCCCCGCTCCCCTCCTCCACCACCTCCATTTCTCTCCCTAAACCCCACCTCCACCCGCCACCACTCCGGCACCACCTCCCACCCTTTCTCCACTCCGGTGTCGGTATCGTCGATCGATCACCGTCTCCGGTTCCTAAAGCATCAGATGCACTGCCTCCTCCTTCATCTACCTCCTAGGGTTTTTCGGCATCGATTTCGTTCAATCCTTCGGAATCGAAGCTTGGGGACTGCCTTAGGGTTGCTTCGATTCGACGGCAGGCGTTGGAGAGGACGACGGGGAGGTCGTTGTTAGGGTTGCCATTGGAAGGATTCGATTACGAGTCAATTTTAGGGCAGTGTTGCGAGATGCCTAATGTTTTTCCATCTCCATCTTCAGAAATCCAAACCATTTATGGGTATTTAAACCAACCAAGCGTAAACAGGGGCTTTCAGTTCCTTAGCAGCTAGGGTTCTTCAATCTTCCCTTTTCCTTCATTGGAAATGGAAAAACATTAGGCATTAGAAACGATCATAATCAAGTTCATGATGTTAACAGTGATTCCACTTCTGATTTCCATTGTGAGCTTGGATCGTTTGAACACCAATTTCGTTTAAATGATTGGATATTTCAGTTAAATTTAATTGAAATGAATTGATTCAGATTTCAGACGTAAAAACAAACAGTCTGACTGATTCAGATTTCAGACTTCAGCACCACCTCTTAAAATTCAGAAGTGAATTCAGACTTCAGACTTCAGCACCTCTTAAAAAACAAACGACACCAAAGAGTGAGAGAGAGAGGTGAAGATTGTATTTAAATAAGAGTAAACTGTAATTTAGTGAAATATTTGAAAGTGAACTGTTTTGGTATATAGCAAGAGTGTTTGGTATAATCGTCTAATACATTAAAATATATTTCTTTCAATATATTATTTTATTTTTTTGTTTCTATTGATATAGTAGAGATAAGTTTTTAATTTTGAATAAAAATATATTTGAAAATATTATAAAATTTTGAAAAATATATCAATATTAATATCAAATTAATTATTTAAAAGTTCTTGTTTTTTTACAATTTTTTATTATACTTTAATTTAGATTCAATAACAAAGTAATTTGTTTTTTGCTTAACAATATAATTTTTATATAGATAATGATAATGTTAGAACTCAATTATTATTCTAATCTATACTATATTATAGAACATTTGACAAGAATCTTAAAAACCATTTTTTATGCATAAAGTACTTTTACTGATGCATATTACTTAAAATTCAAGATTACAAGTAAATTGTGCATAAGTGCAACTTATTAATGCTCTATGTTTGAATTCGTATAACTAACTGCGGATAAACATCTCATTTTAAAATTTAAAAAATGTAAAATATAATTAGGATAATTATTGAGTTCTAACAAAATATTTAATTATAATCTTTATAAAAAAAATATATTATTAAACCTAAGTTAAGTTAAATTAAATTATAATAAAAAATTTGAAATAAAAAAAATATACAAACAAAAACTTTTAAATAGTTAATTTGATACTAATATTGATATATATCTTTTGTAAATTTATATGATATTTTTCAAATTTATTTTTTATTCAAAAATAAAAACAYCATCGTTTTCTCAAAAGCACATAAAATCGTATTATATCGACATGGATAAAAAATAAAACGAAACATTAAATTGAAAATATGTCTCGATGCATTGCACACGTGCCCTTCTAGTTATATTTTAGAAAATTTATATTTAAAATAAAATGTTTATCTTATATTTGATTATGTTTATCTGCAGTTAGTCATACGAATTCAAAATTGAGCTTTAATAAGTTGTAATTACGCACAATTTACTTGTAATATTAAATTTTAAGCAATATATATTAATAAACAATACTTCATACTTAAAGAGTGGTTTTTAATTTTTTTTTACCAAATACTTTATAATACATTATAGATATTGGCGTTGATGATTTTACAAATATATTTTTAGTGAATTTTTATTTACTGATATAACTTTTTTAGGGAGTCGATGTCTTTATTTTTATTTTCTCTTAAAATAAATTCGGGTCATTAATTACGTTAACAATCTTCGTTATATAAAAGTGCTTTAGTATTTTTTCTATATTTTCTTAAATATCTTTAAAAAATAATATATAACTATTTTGTTTATATTATATATATATATATATATATTATGTGTGTGTATATTATGTATATATAAAAATATTTTAAAAATAAGAATATTATGTATATATAACAATAACTTTATGTATATATAATAATAAGAGCAATATACAAATTATATATTATGTATGTGTAGTAATAATATAAACAATAAACTACAAGATGGTGTCTGATTAGTTTGAGTTTGGCTCCAAAGATCAAAAATACTTAGAGATCTCAGGTTCAAATCCAAGGAGGAATAAAAATCTCCTTGTAGTCACGAAGGTTCAAATGCGGTGACTCCGGACTATTTGCAAAGCATGTGATCGTCCTGAAATTAATCAACTCGCATAACGGGTTGGATATCCAGGTAAATCAAAAAAAATAATAATATAAACAATATAAAATTATATATTATATTTTTTAAAGATTTAAAAAAATATAAGTAAAATGATCGAACCATCCTTCATAAGGAGATTGTTAATAAAATTAGTTATCAGGGATCACTTTTAAATCAAAATAAGAACTATAAAGATAATTTTTAGACTTATTAAAGTTCGGATCTCATTTTTAAAGATTTCACCAAACTTTAGGAAACAAAATTAAAGTTTACTCTTTAAATAATATATTTTTATTATTTATAAAGAAAGCATGTAAAAGTAAAAATTAATCACTTTGTGGAGGTTGTTTTATTTGTAAATCGGGAAGACTAATGGCATCCTAGTTTTTATTAATGGCACTCTTAATCCCTTATGTAATTATTTGTTTTTTTTGTTGTATTTATATATATGTATATATATTGTATTGATTTAATATAAATTATTAATAATTTTTTTCCCTTTTTTCTCTCTTATTTATTTATATTATATTTTAATATAAATTATTAATAAATATATATATTTCTTTTATATCATTTATATTATATAAATTATTAATAAATATTTTTTCTTTTAACTTTTATTTAAAAATATATAAATACTTATTAATATAAACATTACTATTATTTTTTTAAATTAAAAGAATAAAACATAAAAAAAATGAGATTTGACTTATAAATAAGATATAACATAATTTATATTAGATTTTCAATTATTCTAAAATAATATTATTTGTAGTACAATTAACACGTAAAAGTTGCCGGTACTTACTTATTCGATTTAAATACGGAATAGCCCATGCAGCAGCACACGGATAGCAGAAATGAAAAAAAATGTGGAGTAATAGTAGAGATCGGATATCCTTCTGCCAAGTCTAGTTTTACATAATGGTTACAATTAATGTACCCAATTGCAAAAACAACAGGTTGATACCACGGTGGCAGAGTAGACCTAAGCGGTAAATATGTTGAACAACTTGTAATGTCTACAATATGTAACATCACATTATACTTTCAAGCAATCATGACACTAATTTCAGGCATTGTCATCCAGTGTTCAACTAGGATAACTCGATCTGATTGAAAGAAGTTTAAAATATTGTAAACTATATTCCAATATTGACTTCCAAATATGTTGAGGTATTTTGTCTTGTATGCATCTAACTCTTCCATCAAGTTAAATCGAATTGTTGGCCATGCATCTTCATGAAGACCAAGGTGGCCAGTTATTGCTCGAAATTCACAATTTTCATCACCTCTCACATCATGTACATGTATGATGTAAGGATGAAACATTTATGGAAATTGATTAATATATGAATGTGCATTATAATTATTGTTGAAGAAGGAACTGTGTCTCGCTAGTTCCTGGTAGCGTATTTCATTCAGGTCCACAAATGATGACGCGTTTGAACAACTACGTCTGAGGGGTCTTTCAGTTGTAAAAGACGAATCAACCTTAACTGTAAAAGACGGCTCAACATAAGGTTTTCTGAGAAGTTTATCCTTCAACGAGGAATGTCCACGAGTAGTCTTGTTAACAATAGGTTCACGAACCCATGCTTTTGATGCATTGGTTATCTCTTTTATCTTTCTTAGGAAACTAAACTTACTATATCTCGATTATTTGTTAAATTCATCGGTAAACATTTGGACTTCATCTTCACAACCAATATCATCATCTTGTAAAGATTGACACGATGCTAAATCAAGCTTCGTCCAAAATACACCAATCGAATCAATTAGGATATGATGACCTTTTGTTGGAATATAACATTTGTTCGTGCGCATATGGCAACCCATAACTTGTACATAGTAGACAATTACAAATTTCTAGAGAATAAACCAACATATTGAGCATGCTGATATTCCTGGAGTATTATGGCTAGTGCATAAAGTGAAACACAACCATACAATTTGTGATAATCGGATTCCGGTTATATAAATTGAGGTAATTCTTAAAGTATGGGTGGGTAAATTCTTTTAAAAATAATTGTGTGATGATGTTTTATGTGTATTATGTGTTATGTGATTACTTAAACATACATGATACATATATGCATGCACGTATATGTATATGAATGTGAGGGGAAGGGGGGGTTATATTATTAAAATAATCGTGACGTTGAAATTTTCTCAACAGAAGTGTATTGTCAGATTTAGAATAG